TGCTGACCTTACCATATATGGTTATACTGCTGCTCCTGACTGAGCTGCCGGACCCTATATAAACAGCCTGTATCCCTCAATAAAGTGCTGTCCCTTTTTCTCTCTATTTCTAAACTATACTCTGTCTCTTGTGTCTTGTGTTCATTCGGTCAGTCCTTCCCTGCACCTACGGATCCTAGGGCCACCTCCGCGGGTCGGAGAGTGGTTTGCGGGCCCCCCGCAAAAAAGGGTGGCTTGGGACTCCAAATGGCAATATAAACTGTAGGTATGTCACTGTTATCTTGGATTCCTCGAGTTCAATTCCCCTTGGTGGCATTAAACCCTAAAAGTTCCGTCTAGAAAGAAACTCCCTTTTAGCTCTAGGACTATATGTGTCATACCATACTACTCCAGGGCCACAGTAAAATTATTTTATTTTATTTCCCAGATTATATGACTTCAAACAATGAAAATGTGTTTTCCCAAAGTTCTGGGGGCTAGAATTTCAAAGCCAAGCTGGTTTCTTTGAGTACTGTGGAATAAGGTTCCTTGGCTTGTATACAACCATATTCTACCCTGGAGAATGAATACACACTGAGAAATAAAATAATTTCATTGTGACCCTAGAGTATTATAGTATGGCATACATATTTTCAATGCAGTCATTCACCCATGTATGTCTACCTCTCTGTCCAAATTTTCCCTTTTTTATAAGGACACCAGTCAAATTGGATTATAGATTACTCTAGATCAGAGGTTTCAATCACCAGTTCATGGGCTGCTTCTGATTCACAGTTGTAAAGGGTTTCTAAACTACAGCTCCAGATTTTTCAACTGTGGGCTGCAACCCATATGGGGTTGCATAACTCTTGAGCAATTTACTTGAAAATAAATTTCTAGGATTTATTATCAGTAAATATTTGGTTTGTATACCTACATGCCCAAGACCACATAAAAATGTCTCAGTAGAAAATGGGCTGCAAAGAAAACTCTCAGAACTTAACTGCCCCACACTGATGGCCACTCTCCACATGCTCGAGCCAAGCCTCATGCATGGGAGAACCTCCAGAAAACCCAGGTATGCAGGGCTTTGTGACTGAGAACTCTGGGTTCAATGGGACTGGGAATGGAAATCCTCTACCCATTGTCCCTCCCTCCCCAGTGGTTGCTCCAGGTTGCCTTGAAGGGGCCCACATAACATTGCATCCTGTATGCCATACATGAACTTTGGCCCTTTGAGCATGCTACCTGCCCCACCAGTTGTTAAAATTTTGGGTGAAAGGGCTGGACATTTGGGGAGAATAAGTCAGGACCGAGATCCAAAAACTTTAGTGGGGTTAAATCTTGGAAGAAGCAGGGGAGCGGGGAATGAGAAAAGGAAGGGGACAGCATTCTCCAATTGTCTCAAAGTTTCTTGCCCTTAACACCTACCCTATTATCTCAGTGTGCCATGCCCTTCCCATCTCTCTCAACCCAGGCGCCATGAGGCCTTTCTGCCCCGCCCCCACAGTCTGGGCGCCATGACGCCTTCCTGCCCCACAGTCTGGGCACCATGATGCCTTCCTGCCCTGCCCCCCAGTCTGGGCGCCATGACACCTTCCTGCCCCGCCCCCAGAGTCTAGGCGCCATGACAACTTTCTGCCCTGCCCCCACATCTGGGCGCCATGATGCCTTCCGCCCCACCCCCCAGTCTGGCCTTCCCGCCCCACCCCCCAGTCTGGGAACCATGACGCCTTCGTGCCTCGCCCCCAAGTCTGAGTGCCATGACACCTTCCCACCCAACACCCACAGTCTGGGCGCCATGACACCTTCCCACCCCGTCCCCCAGTCTGGACGTCATAATGACTTCCCATCCCGCCCCCAAGTCTGGGCACCATGATGCCTTCCTGCACCGCCCCCAAAGTCTGGGTGCCATGACACCTTCCCACCCTGCCCCCACAACTGGGCGCCATGACACCTTCCCACCCAACGTCCAGAATCTGGGTGCCATGACACCTTCCTACCCCACCCCCAAAGTCTGGGAGCCATGGCGCCTTCCTGCCCCGCCCCCCAGCCTGGGCACCATGACACCTTCCCGCCCTACCCCCAGCCTGGGCGCCATGACACCTTCCTGCCCCACACCCACAATCTGGGTGCCATGACACCTTCCCACCTCGCCCCCAGTCTGGGAGACATGACACCTTCCAGCCACTCCCCCAGTCTGGGAGCCATGACACCTTTGTGCCTCACCCCTCAGTCTGGGCGCCATGATGCCTTCCTGCCCCGCCCCCAGTCTGGGCGCCATGACACCTTCCTGCCACGCCCCCAAGTCTGGGCGCCATGACACCTTCCTGCCCCACCCCTCAGTCTGGGCGCCATGATTCCTTCCCTGCCCCGCCCCCAGTCTGGGCACCATGACACCTTCCCACCCAATGCCCACAGTTTGGGCACCATGACACCTTCCCACCCTGACCCCAGTCTGGGCGCCATAACACCTTCCGGCCCAACTCCCACAGCCTGAGGGACCTGACACCTTCCCACCCCAACTCCAGTTTGGGTGCCATGACACCTTCCCACTCCGCCCCCAGTCTGGGCGCCGTGATGCCTTCCTGCCCCGCCCCCAAGTCTGGGCGCCATGACACCTTCCTGCCTAATGTCCACTTTTGTGCACCATAACACCTTCCCGCCCCAACCCCAGTCTGGGCACATTGACACCTTCCTACCCAATGGCCACTTTTGAGCGACATGACACTTTCCCAATCTGCCCCCACATCTGGGCGCCATGACACCTTCCTGTCCCACCCCCCAGCCTGGGCGCTATGATACCTTCCGCCCCGCCCCCTATCTGGGCACCATGACACCTTCTTGCCCCACCCCCCACTCTGAGCGCCATGACACCTTCCCACTCTACCCCCACATCTGGGCGCCATGACACCTTCCCACCCCACACCCCGGTCTGGGTGCCATGATGCTTACTTCCCCACCCCCACGTCTGGCCACCATGACACCTTCCCACCCAACAGCCACTTCTGGGCGCCATGACACCTTCCCAACCCACTCCCCCCCGTCTGGGTGCCATGATGCCTTCCTGCCCAATGGCTACTTCTGGGCGCCATGACACCTTCCCGCCCCGCCCCCAGTCTGGGCGCCATGAAGCCTTCCTGCCCCGCCCCTAAATCTGGGCACCCTGACACCTTCCCGCCCAACGTCCACTTTTGGGTGCCATGACACCTTCCAACCCTGCCCCCACATTGGCGCCATGACATCTTCCCGCCCCACCCCCCAGTCTGGGCACCATGAAGCCTTCCTGCCCCGCCCCGAAGTCTGGGTGCCATGATGCCTTCTGCCCCGCCCCCTGTCTGAGCGCCATGATACCTTCCCTCCCTGCTACCACATGGGGGCCCCACCCCCCAGTCTGGGTGCCATGAAGCCTTCCTGCCCCACCCCCACAGTCTGGGCACCATGACACATTCCCGCCCAACAGCCACTTCTGGGCGCCATGAGACCTTCCCACCCCACCCCCCAATTTTGGGCACCATGACGCCTTCCTGCCCCACCCCCAAACTCTGGGCTCCGTGACACTTCCCTCCCAATGCCCACAGCCTGGGCGCCATGATACCTTCCTGCCCCGCCCCCAGTCTGGGCGCCATGACACCTTCGTGCCACGCCCCCAAGTCTGGGCGCCATGACAACTTCCCACCCAATGGCCACTTTTAGGTGCCATGACACCTTCCTCCCCACTACCCAGTCTGGGCACTATGACACCTTCTCGCCCAACGGCCACTTCTGGGCGCCATGACACCTTTCTGCCCAACGGCCACTTCTGGGCGCCATGACACCTTCCCGCCCCACCCCCCAGTCTGGGCACCATGACACCTTCCTGCCCAACGGCCACTTCTGGGCCCCATGACACCTTCCCGCCCCGCTCCCAGTCTGGGCGCCATGACACCTTTCTGCCCAATGGCCATTTCTGGGCGCCATGACACACTCCTGCCACGCCCCCCAGTCTGGGCACCATGACACCTTCCCGCCCAACGGCCATTTCTGGGTGCCATGACACACTCCTGCCATGCCCCCCAGTCTGGGCGCCATGACACCTTCCTGCCCCGCCCCCCAGTCTGGGCGCCATGACACCTTCCCGCCCAACGGCCACTTTTCGGCTCCACAACACCTTCCCGCCCCGCTCCCCAGTCTGGGTGCCACGACACCTTCCCGCCCCGCCCCCCAGTCTGGGCGCCATGACACCTTCCTGCCACGCCCCCAAGTCTGGACGCCATGATACCTTCCTGCCCAACGGCCACTTCTGGGCGCCATGACACCTTCCCGCCCCACCCCCCCCAGTCTGGGCGCCATGACACCTTCCCGCCCCACCCCCCCAGTCTGGGCGCCATGACACCTTCCCACCCCGCCCCTAGTCTGGGCACCATGACACCTTCCTGCCCCGCCCCCAAGTCTGGGCACCATGATATCTTCCCGCCCACCGGCCACTTCTGGACGTCATGACACCTTCCTGCCCAACGGCCACTTCTGGGCGCCATGACACCTTCCCACCCCACCCCCCAGTCTGGGCGCCACGACACCTTCCTGCCCAACGGCCACTTCTGGCCACCATGACATCTTCCCGCCCAAGGGACACTTTCTGGGTGCCATGACACCTTCCTGCCCCACTCCCCAGTTGGGCGCTGTGATACCTTCCTGCCCAACGGCCACTTCTGGGCGCCATGACACCTTCCCGCCCAACGGACACTTCTGGGTGCCATTACACCTTCCTGCCCCACCCCCCAGTTGGGCGCTGTGATACCTTCCTGCCCAACGGCCACTTCTGGGCGCCATGACACCTTCCCGCCCCAACCCCCCAGTCTGGGCACCATGACACCTTCCTGCCCAACGGCCACTTTTGGGCGCCATGACACCTTCCCACCCCGCCCCCAGTCTGGGCACCATGACATCTTCCGCCCCACCCCCAGTCCGGGCATCATGACCCTTCTCCTCCGCTCACAGTCCCGTCCCCTCCCAGCCCACCTTGTCCACGGTCCCCTTACCGGGTCTCATGCAGTAGCCCATCAGCATCAGCGTCCAGAAGCCGAGCATCAGCAGCCCGGAGCGCCTCCGGCTGAACATCCTGGAGAAGGGGCGGCGCCTGTTGGACTGAAAACCACGCAGGGACGCCTCCCAGCTGGGTCTCGGCAGGACGGCCCGAGTGGCTGTCAGGCCCATCACGCTGAAGCCGGGGTGCGAGCCCAGGGCCGGGTTCTCTGCAGTATATCGCGGCATGACGGGAATGGGTCGATAGCGGTCACTGCGCAGAATCCTAATCCTCATACTGTTCTTCCCACGCAGGGAAGCACTGTTGGCTGTCATGGCCAATGAGCTCTGGCAACTCCAACGCGTCTGTCTCGCCACCAACGGCTTCCAGACACCAAGAAGCCTCTACGAGGTGCCCTGGCTCAGCACGAGGCCAGGCGCTGATGTCATCCCAGCCACGCCCCTTTTTAACGGTCGTGGGGCTCTGTCGGTTGCAAGCCTAGTCACGTTGCTCCTTCCCTAGTGTCTTTCAGGTCACGTGACACTGCACCTGCTAGCAGCAGAGCCACCAGAAACTTCACTGGGCTAATGCTTCCAGCCTCGTGGGCTGAACCCTTCTTCTTCGTTCTTTAATGCTCCTGTTGGTCATGCCTCCAATGCTCACCACGGCAGCTGCTGGACTGACGTGGTTATTTACAGGCAAATTTTAATTAAAATCAGATGAACTCAAGCAATCAGTTCCTCAGTCACAGCAGTCATGCGACAAGAGCTCAATAGTCATATAGTGTTTGACGATATACTGGACACTGTGACGCAGGTATTGCCAAAAAAGCAGAACACTGTGCTGGGCAGTCCTTGGAACAGCAAATGTAATAAACGTGGTCATTCTCGGAAAAGGTGGTTTACATGTAGTAGGAGCTTGTAGAATTGGGTGGGATCTCCTTCCAGATCTGAGGTTACAGGAACTCAGGTGACCAAGAACTGAATGGACGCCAACAGGGCTACCTGTTATCCACACATGTGCCCTGGCCCTGATCAGCACATGTCCAAATCATCCCCAACTACATGATCCTTGGATTGCCTCAGATTGTAGCCCCCAAAATAAAAGTAGCAACGTGGGGCTGGAGCAATAGTCCAGCAAGTTGAACAATTACTTTATATATATCCAACCTGGATTCTATCTCCAACACCCCACGCGGTCTCCTGGGAAATTCCAGGAATAAGAGCTGAGCACAGAGTCAGGAGTAAACTTTGAGCACTGCCAGATGTGGCCCCCCATAAAACCAAAAATAAATAAAAAAATGGTAATTACTTTTAGAGAGACATAACGCTACATTGAAAATAGGGCCTGGAGAGATAGTATAGCGGGTACGGCACTTGCTTGCACATGATCAATCCGAGTTGGATCCCAGAATTCCAAATGGTCCCCAGAGCACCATCAGGTATTCCTAAATATCACTCTACTTTCCAGGGAACTAAAAAATGAACCATCTTGGGGCTGGAGTGATAGTACAATGGGTAGAGTGTTTGCCTTGCACATGGCCGACCCAGGTTCAATTCCCAGCATCCCATATGGTTCCCCAAAGCACCACTACGAGTAATTCCTGAGTGCAGAACCAGGAGGAACCATTAAGCACCGCCAGTTGTGACCCCCCACCAAAAAAATGAACCATCTCAATTGCATTCTCATCCTCACATTTCATTCTGGTTTTTCTAACTTTTTTTCCTACCAGTTTCATTCTGGTGTTCTTTCCTATCTGAATTAGGGGGGAGGTTGAGAAAATCTTTCCTATGTACAAATTCCTGAAACTTACCACAATATACCCCAAGCCACCCCACAGTCAGGAGCTACTCATAACACTCTTTAGGTTATTAGAAGATCAGACCAGATCAGACCAGATAAGAGGCTGGAAGTTACCCAAGAATTACCAAGATGAGCCCAGGGCCTGCTGAATTCTGGAAGATCCTCACTTTAAAAAATCAGCTGGGAAAAGAATTGGCTTTCCTTTCACATTTCTGTTTTTGTTGTTATGTGGCACACTCAGCAGTTCTCAGGGCTTACTCCTAGCTGTGTGCTCAGGGATCACTCCAAGCAGTGCTCAGGGAACCATATGGAATATTGGAGATAGAACTCAGTTTGGTTATGTCCAAGACAAAGGCCCTACCTGCTGTACTATCATTCTAGTCCCTCCTTTCATATTTGTAAAGCTTTTTCAACCCACACTTCTCCAAAACTCATTTGATCAGAGGAGTGTCCTGCACGATATTTGCCAATAGCTTCTGAAATTACTGCTTACAACTTGCAGAAAGAAAAGTGTCTGAGATACTTGCAAGTAATAAGGAAGGCTGTCCCAATTTTTACAGACAGCTGCAGAAGATGCAAAACTAGTGAGTTAAAGACAAAGAATGACAGTCTTCTTGAGACACCCAGAAACTTGGGAGCCTAATTGCTTCCCAAAAACCCGATTCATGTTTTAAAACATTTGGCAAACGTATCATTCACCATAGAGCTACCCTGAGTAAAGTTTCAGAGTAATTGAACTAGAACACAAGGGTTAGGAAGCCATCTCTGAATCATCTCACAAATTATATTCTCTGAGCCTCAGTTTCCCCTTATGCAAATTGTACCCGTGGACAGCACGGTTAGGAAAACTGCTTGCAGTTTGAGCTTGCTCTGACTGGTATTATTTCCAGTTGCTGAAAACAGGCAATTATAGGATAATGCAGTACTCTTGTGCCATCTACATTATCCTGATGGCAGCCCAAATTACTACCAAGATTTGGGGAAATGTTGAAGTTCAGGGCAAGCAATCCCAGTATCTGCCCAAGCAGTGTCATAATTACTTTGAATTAAGATTACTTTAAGAATAAGACAGAAATCATCAAAGGGACACTCTGACACCCCCCACCTCCCAGTGTTTTTAAAAGCATGAAAGAAGTCTCAGATGTGAAATGTATCAAAAAGTTAAAAAAAAAACCTTAAATGGATAGATAGGGAATTCTGAGATAGAAGTCAAGTAATTGCATAACAAACCCTACTTAGGTTTGGCTAATTCATAAAGTTTCAGTCTCTTTGTCTTGTCAGTTCTTTACAAATGCAGTTTCCTTGTCGAAACGAGATAGAGAAACTGACACTGGTTGCTCCTTCTGATGTTTACGATGCTTCCAGATGGACAAAATTTAATATATCTTTCTTCCCATTTATCTGTCTTGTGCCAATTTAAATACAAAAGCAGCCCAAAGAACTTTAGAAGATGAAGAAGAAAACAGCATTTTTCTCATATAACGACTAAACCACTAACGTTATGCCTGAGCACACCCTGGTCTACACAACCCTAATTTGAGATTTTATTTATTTTATTTTTATAAAAAGCCATGTATAGTATCTATTTTATAGCTTATCAGATGATTTTTTTTCTTTTGGGTCTGGCAGGAATAGTAGAAAAGTTAAGGACTTTGCCTTGCATTTGACTGACACCAGTCTGATTCCTGTTATCACATGGTCCCCAAATCCAACAGGATGCAGACTGGGGGAACACCAGAGGTGACCCAGGTATACCCAGATCCTCAGGCCCTGAGCAACACTGCTCCTTGGGGCTCTCAGCAAAGCACTGGAAAGAGCCTCCAGGCCTCCTGAACACCACTTAGGAGACACTCAACTAATTCGGGTTTGATGCCCAGCACCCCATAGTAATTCAGTAAGCCCTGAGCACAGCTAGGGGTGGCCCCCAAATTTTTCAAACAGCTGAAGCATATAGAAGTTCAAATGTTTTTTTTTTCTTTTTGGGTCACACCCAGCAAAGCACAGGGGTTACTCCTGGCTCTGCACTCAAGAGTTACTTCTGGCAGTGCTCAGGGGACCATACGGAATTCCGGGAATCGAAACCAGGTCGGCCGTGTGCAAGGCAAACACTCTACCGGCTGTGTTATCGCTCCAGCCCCCTCAAATCTTATTTTTTTGAGAAGTATCTAAATTGTTTTCCATAGAGGCTGAACTTGATGGCATTCCCAATGAGGGTTTCTTTCTCACCGTACTATCAGCCCTGGTTGATTCTACTCTATTTCATGTATGCCAAGATTATTGATGTCAGGTGATATCTCATTGTTGTTTTGATTTGCTTTTCCCTGATAGTAAGTGATGAAGAGCACTATTTCATATATCTATTGTCCATCCATACATCTTTGAAGAATATGCATGGTCTGTGAAAATGTATAAGATGCCCTTTTAGGGAAGTGGAAGCAAAGTAGAGCACTTTCTCCTAGTATCAGAATCGATTACTCTACCCAACATTCTCTGTCTCTCTCTCTCTCTCTCCTTCTCTACCCCCTCCTCCTCCCCACCCCACTTGGGTTTTCTGAAAGTAATATACCTTTCTTGGATCATAAACTTACAACCAGCAAAAATTGAAGTTGTAGGAATAAGAAGCGAAGTGTAAACATATTCTCTGTAAATATAAAATTACACTATCCTCTTTCATCCCTGTATTTTCAACCGCACCCCTAAGTTCTTAGCCCTATATATTCTACTAAGGAAGAAACAAATCATACGTTGATTTTAGTCCTTGTTCAGACTGCACAACATGTCCTGAAAGATAGTACTCCAAACTCATAGGATATTTTCACCTACCTGGAGTTATTACTAGGTGTTCAATAGGCCAAAAGTTTTTCCAACTTCATGATAAATAAAGTTGTAAGAGAAAGTATACAATATGATGATCTGATATAAATATGCATTGTGAAATAATTCCCACCAATTCACTCCCTAGAACTAAACTCTAAGTCTATCCCAAGAACTCAAAAACACTAAATCAAAGAGATGTATCAACACACCTATATTCATTGGAACACTATTTACAACAGCCAAGATGTGAAAACAGCCCAAATGCCCAAATAAGGATGAAGGTATATAGAAATCATGGTAAATAGCCAATGGAATACTACTCAGCTATTAGATAAAATCTTGCATTTTCCAGATGGCTCTAAAGGGGGTCACGTTAAGTGATATAAATCAAAAACATAAAAAGGGCAGAGCAGTAGTATAGTGGGTAGGACTCTTACCTTGCATGTGCACAACCCAGACTAGATCCTTGGTACCTCATATGGTCCCCCAAGCCCTACCAGGAGTGATCCCTGAGCACAAAACTAGGAGTAAGCCCTGATCACAGCTGGATGTGCTCCTGGCTGGAGTGTTCACAGCGAGTAGGGCATTTGCCTTGCAATGGTCAACCCGGGTCCAATTCCCAGCATCCCATATGGTCCCCTGAGCACTGCCAGGAGTAATTCCTGAGTGTAGAGCCAGGAATAATCCCTGGGAATCACCATATGCGACCCAAAAA